GCGGCGCGCTCAAGTCCTTGGCCTCGAAACTCACGAAGCCGAAGGCGACGAGTTGGGTCGCTGGTGCGGGGAACGAGAAATGGACAATGAACCCAGGGATTCCCGGAAGGAAACCACCAGTTGGATGGAATGAACTGTTTGCGGGTTCCCGGAGAAAGGAAACCAGTTGGATGGCTTGTAAGGGTCAGTCCATGTCTCGTTCCCTGAGCACCATAACTAGGTTAGCCCCCTGGTTTGGGGGCTGCGAACTACGCTGGCTGCAGTGAGCTCAAAATGCTGTCTACTCCAAAACATGTTCTACATGCTGCAGAGGGAGACCCAACATGCCTCCATCGGTCAAATTGCCACAAAGTCCCCAACAAAGAGCACATAGGGTACATAGCCCTTGGATTTGCCAAGAAACTTGGCTTGCCAATGCAGGCAGCCAATGCTGTGAAGGACAAGGCCAGCGACTGTTGGCTTGAGCCAAAGCCGGGGAGGGTAGACAGTCCCAACCAGTCCCAACTAGTCCCAACCAGTCCCAACCAGTCCCAACCAGTCCCAACCACGTGCGGATGTTCGGCAATTCCGGTCTTTGCGGGGTTTTGGTAGGCTCCTGTGCCAGATTGTAAAAGCTCCAGCTTTTTGTACCTTTGGGTTCGGAGAGACTCAACCAGCAGCTGGTTTGCAGGAGACGAATGCAGAGCACGACAAGGTCAGCGCGGGCTCCTGAAACTCCACAACTTTTTCTCATGCGTCAAAATAATTATCCCAACTGTTGGTTTCCCTTTTGGCTTCCCTTGAACCAACCTGACACTTGGTACTCTCACGTGTGAAAGTCGTTGCGTTTGGCTTCGGCCGCATCTTTTTCGTGTAGGACGCACACGAAACGCGCCTGGTAGGGTTGTTGCAAACTCGGTGTAGGTTCAGCATGTTTTCAAGAGACAGTTGCTGCCGTTATATTGAGGTCATTTTGGTGGAGAAATACATGCCCAACTGGTTTCATCGATCAGGTTGAGGTCTTTTGGGCAGGCCGAGCGCATTGGCACACATGGAAAACACCTTATCCCAACAGCACCCTGCAGCAGCACTTTGCAACAGCACCCTACGCAAAACAGCACCATGGCACCCTGCAGCAGCACCCTTTTTAGGTTACGGCTTGCAACAGCACGTTTTCTTCTTTTTGGACTCGTTTTAGACTTGTTTTTGGACTTCTTTTTTTGGCTGATAAGTGCCTTGCGATATGCGTGTGCCATGCCAATTGCGTCCGTAGTGGAACTTAAACAAGACAGTTTTAGGAGACACGTTGCGGTTAATTATGCAATGTGCCACGGGGGCCGCCTTCATGTTTTGAGCTTCAATCATATTTTTCGAGATGTGTTTGGTTGCCTTTTGCTATGCAGGTGCCATGGGAATTGCCTTCTTACTGGCAAATGAACTTGTGTTTGCAAGAACGGATTCGATGTTGTTGAGCATGCGAGGTGCCATCGGGATTGCATTCTTATTGGCATGCAATCACACAACATCTTCGTCCCAACTGGTATGCAATGTGCCATGGGGGTTGCCTTCTTACTCGTACTGTAAACATGTGTGCTTAAAATGCGTTTGCGTGCCTTGTAACATGCGATGTGCCATGGGGATTGCGTCCGAGGGGTACTCAAACAAAGCAGTTTTAGGAGACACTTGAGCGCGTGTGCCAGTGGGGAAGGCTCAGTTGCAAGGACCCTGCCGGGACCCTCGTTGCGTTGTTTTTACTGGTAGGCTGCGGGATTTCAAGAAAAACAAAATAATGCAAGGACTCTGGTTTGGGGGTTCCGAGCCGCCAAGAAACATGCCTACGCAGGAAATGCGCCAGAGGATTTGGCTTTGGGCCAGCCTGGGCATGAGTCAAAATAGGATGGGGCCATCCAAATGGTGTCCTGGCCCCTGAGACCGCAACCTAAAAATGGAACCCAATACAAAGACCCAGCGCATGGCGCAAACTTGCCAGTTTCGGCGATTCCTTGATTTCTTCGCGCGATCGCTGGACAGGTTGCCTTCAGCTCAGATACACACTTTTTCTTTAAGGTAGTTTTTGCAGAGCACACCACACACACACACACACACCTAGCAGGTGCCTCGCCACGCGTGAACGATTTTTCCACGTGTCCAGGAGACGAACAATGAGGCGGATCTGAAGGCCAGCACGGGCGCTCGAACGTTTCCAGTTAAAACCTGATGTCGCCAAATCGGCGCAAGCTGATAGGGACCCCTTCCAAAACAAAGTGTGCTTTGTTCTTTCACGCGGTGTACTCTGCCCAGGGCCGAATGTTTCAGATTCTGCCGTGTCTTTGATTTCGCGGATTGACAGCCACACGCAAAGCCAACCAGTCAGAGTGAACAGCAACGACCCCCGCGGGTTCGACTTCTTCCCGGTCCGCCCTTCCCCACTCGGCAGCGAGGGGGGCCTGAGGCACGACAAAGGTGAGCTTGTTGGCTTGCAGACTTGGCCCTTTGCTTTTTCTTCCGGTTTTCCAGAGACGCAGTGGCTTTCAGACTTGGACTTTTACGGGGAACTCGTTCATTTGTTTGTTTTGTTTGGTTTGCGAAAGTTTCCACAGTTTCATTCTCTGGGGAAGTTGGCCTTTAGCTTCTTCTGTGGGACAAACGGGTTCCTTTGTTTGCGACCGGCTCGGGAAAGGGTTAGTCCTTGGCTAATTTAAAAAGAAGCGAGCTAATTCTGGGACAAAAGGGTTCCTGTTTGGGAATTCCTTTAAAGGACTAGCCCTTGACATTTTAACGAGAAATTAGTCAATTCCTCTGGAATCGAGGTGGCGGAACAACCTACGTTCGCACCAAGCCAACCTTTCAGAGCAACGACGAGAAAAGTTTCTCGCCCAAGCTTCGAGGGAAGCGGTGGTTCAGGGCATGTCGAAAAGGCAACACACGCAACGCGCAACACGACCCCCACGAAGGTGAACAGCTGTTAGCCTCTATCAATTTTCCTCGCAGCCCCAAAAAACACCGTCATTGATGGCCTGCAGGGCATGTCCCAGAAGGCACAACGCACTCTAGACAAACACAGTCCTGGCTTTCTGGAAAGCGTAAAAAGGCACTTCTGTTAGCCCCCAACCTGCAGGAACCCGCATCAGTGGCTGCCCCTCTGGTCTCCTTCTCAAGCATGAGATTGCCAATTCTGTGCCAAGTCAAACGGAAGTTTCCTCTCGGAAGAGGAAAGACTCGGACAGGAGAAGTGGACCGACGTTGGCGAGAGCTCCGAGGGATCTATCGACGGCCTGAGAATAGAAACCGAAATTTTTTGAGCGCTCTGGGTAGTGAAAGGGCGGACACGACCCGAAAATACAAAGAAAGGTCTTCAAGATGGGCCAACTTCTCCGCATGGCAGGTGAAGGGGCGATTAGAAAAAGTGCCATATGTCCAAACCTTGCGAAGTGTCAACAAAAACATGACGTAGGTTGTGGGCTTCCGTTCGTGCCACGTATATAAGGTTCCGATTTATTTGCCTTGCGCTTTTTCACGCTAGCCCCGAGGGCAGCGCGTAGCTCTTTTTGAGCAGCGGCAAAGGCAAGAATTCCCATTGGCCATTGTAGTCGGTGGTTCTGCCACTTGGCCATGGTTCAAAACCAATGGTACCATTTTGGGATAGGTGCACCACCCATTTTAGAACCAATTTCAGTCGGGATTGGGATGTTCACTGGGGGTACGGGGTTTTGACCCATGGTCGGTGGATGGACAAAGTCTGAACTAAGTTGGCAGGTGGTTCATAGGACGGCAGTGGGGCTTCCCTAAGACAAGATCCTCACCAACTCAAGCACTTGCTGTTTTGGGGAACCCATGACCCATGCACTAGGGTTCTTCCTGAGCGGTGCGCGTTCCAATGCGTTTGGTCCGAAGGAAGGAGGCTCCGGCATGTGCCAATTTTGTTGGCGTGTCTTGGGCCAAGTTTTTAAGCTTCCCAAAGGGAAGCTTGGAGGCGACGAGTCCGAAAAAGTTGGGCAACGCGGCGGGCGAACAGCAGTGCTCCCAACTGTAGGCCTTGGTACCCTGTTTGGGTCGGTTTCGAAGACATCCAAGGGAAGCCATCCACAATGAGAGGTTTACCCATTTGTGGGCAAACCCGTAGAACTCTTGTGGGTGTGTCTTTTTTGGGGGAACCTTTGGTTAGTTGTATGGTAAACCAAGCAAGAACAACGCTTTGGGGTCAGTCTTGAAGGCAAACCACAGGAAAGAATTCTCATTTGGCAAGGGCTTGCAGAAAAGGAACAAGGTCGGCAAACACCACTGGTTGCTTGGAGAGACCAGAAGCGCGCAGACAAGCCAAGCATTGACCTTGCAAACCTCATCCGCCACATCTAGGCGTGGGCAGACCGTTTGTGACAGGATGGTTGTATCAGGGCTGGTTGATTTCCCCAGAAGCAATTCCCAGGTTTAAGATGGTTTAAGTCTACATTGGTGACAAGACGGAGCTTTGCATGGAGTTTGCATATCCCTTTCAAATCAATTCCATTGATATGATTCGAGAGTTCAAGAAACCATTTGCCATTTCCCAGGTCCCGGAGTTTTCGATAGGTGCTACATCATCCAGATGTGTCATCGATGTTCCAAGGATGCCAAACCGGATGGGCAACTTGTGAACATATAATATGTCTATGCTACGACAGGGGGGCCCCCTTCGAATTTAAACATTCCTTGTACTAATCGTAGGATGTCCGCATGATGTTGCCTTGGATGGGTTCCAGAGGGTCCATTCAACAGAACATAACTCACGATCAAACCCGGGTGATTGGACGATAAGGGACCATGCCAATGGGTAGCCGCCCTTTCCATGCTTTACATGGTGGGTAGACCATTCTAATACCCTCCCTCCAACTAACATGGCACCTGCGGGAGGGTACCTGGAAGATCAAGTTCCTCTTGGAGGGATCCCCTTTCAGGTGCCATGTTAGTGCGAGAGAGTATAATACCGGGAGTTGACCCCGAAGGCCCGAAACGTCAGGCTCAACACACCGGCGCTGCGCCAGGACCGCCCGGTGCGTCTCCTGCGCTGCGAGCATGGCAACGTGGCCCAAGCCTTGGCTCCCCAACCCTGAACCTTCATGGGCGGCTCGTCTTTCTTTAGGGACCCAACATGGCTTCGGTGTTCCTGTTGGTTTCCCTTTAAAGACCACAAACTTGGGGCACCTCAAAAACGACATACCCGGACATATGCGTATCTATGTTGTTGGTTTCAAAGACGAGCTTGTTGTTGGCCTGCCTGTTTTGTAAAGCTGGGCTCTCAAAAATGAGGGAAGGTTGGATTTTCCAATTCCCGTTTTGGCTTCCCTTTCAGACCAGCCAAAAAAGTGTCTTCCCAAAAAAGGAACGGCACCCTGTAGCATGTGGTTTCGCGCGTCAGACGCGTCCTTGCACTCGTCTACCAGCTGCTGGCGCCTGGCAGTGGAGTTGAAGCAACCAGGGACCACCGCCAGCTCACGCAAAAGTTTCCCTTCGTGTGCTTGATTGTTTTTTGGTACCTGATGGTTTTGGTTAGTAAGGGACAAAGCACATTTGTTTCATACAAAATAACATAAAGGGGGTGATGGTTTTGGTTAAGGGAACACATAGGACCGCCGAACCCATTTGTTGGCGGTCCAGATCCCGATTTCGATACATGAATATGCCCATGAGTGCAAAACTGGAAAAGAGTGACCCTTGAAAGGGAGATGCTGCCGCAGAGTTGCGGGGCTTTGGGCCCACCTTGGGGCTTCCGCCCAGAAGCGCAAGCAGCACGGGAGCCACACCCCAGCTTGCCAACCCCGAAGAGGCATCGAACAGCTGGTACAGCCTCACCACCGGAGACAAATGGCTGCGGGTCAAAAATAGGTACCCAAAGAGGAACCCTGGTAAGTGGAACCATGGACTAAAACCTGCGGTTTCCTGGTGGTTTGATTTTGACCCATACCCAAATCTTGAATCATGTTTACTCTATTGACTTCAGCCACGCCTAATTTAAATCAGGAACGCCTGCAAACATGGCTGGTGGACACACGTCCCCCTGTGAATAATTTCCACCAAAGGGTCCATTGCCATTTGCCCTGCCTCCAATCATGGAAGCTGTTTGGAAGGTGTTGGAGAACTGAGTTTGTCTTGGGACTCTCACTGTCCATTTCTGGGATTGGTGTAAAAGAGGGAATAAACCAGGGTTGTTCTTCCTGCAATTGGTGATTTGAATTGGTGGTTTGGACGTTAGGGGCTTCCCATTTTGGGTCAAAAGGAATTGGGGATCAAATCCCCAAACCAAATCATCAACTGTAACTGAGGGCTATAGCTACCTGACATGTTGTGCGCAACAGTGGTTTAAGCACGGCTTATCTCGGTGGCTCAACCCATCGGTTGCAACCCAAAGGACATCTTATTTTTTTTTCGTACACCGAGGATCTTGCTCTCATCAGCTCCGTCGAAGCTCGGCAGGACTTGTTTTGCAAACAACGCCCGGTGATTTCGGATGCCGAATTCTGTGGATTTCCCTTGAAGTCTTTGGCGAGTGGGGTGGAGCGGGGCTAAAAGAGTGCTAAGAGTTGGTAGAATCAAGCTGAAGGCGGCAAAGGGCCGCCTACGACCAGTTGATTGTCCGGCGTGACGTGAAATGGGGAGCATTGATATGCACTGACGGTGTGCTCAGCCACGTGCGTTGAGGCCTCTCGCCCAAAAACTGCCAGTGCTTGAGCGGCATGCCCCAGTGCCACACCTTGGCGGATGTCAAAATGGAGGGTCCCCCCCCATGTTATTTTTATTTGTATTTTTTAAAATAGAGAAGTAGATAAACAAATAAATGAATAAATGAATATCTCTATTTATTATTATTATTAGTATTACGTATTATTATTATTAGTAGTATTATTATTGTTATTATTATTATTATTATTATTATTATTATTATTATTATTATTATTATTATTATTATTATTATTATTATTATTATTATCATCATCATCATCATCATCATCATCATCATCATCATCATCATCATCATCATCAGCAGCAGCATCATCATCATCATCATCATTGTTATTAGTATTAGTATTAGTATTATTATTATGATTATTAATTATTATTATTATTATTAATATTATTAGTATTAGTTATTATTAGTATTATTATTAGTATTATTTATTATTAGTATTATTTATTATTATTAGTATTATTTATTATTAGTATTATTTATTATTATTATTATTATTATTATTATTATTATTATTATTATTATTTATTTGTTTATTTATTATTATTATTATTATTATTATTATTATTATTATTATTATTATCATTCTCATTATCATTATCATTATTATTATCATCATTATCATTATCATTATCATTATTATTTATTATTATTATTAGTAGTAGTAGTATTATTAGTAGTATTATATACACATATATATATATATATATATGTATTATAGAAGGATGCACGTGTTTCCCGCTTTTCGCTTCCCTTTAGACCCAGGAAACAATAAGTACGGAGCCTCAAGCACGAGCGTCGCAGCCGTCTATCCAAGCCTCAGGAGCGAGCGCCCGCTGCCCAGACTCGATCGTCTGGTCAGGGTTGGTGGCTTGTGGTTACGACGGAAACCGCCTCTTGGGCATGTGGGTATTTCTCAACATGGGGAAAATCGAAATTGGTGGTTCTTCCTTGTGTTCCCTTCAGCCACCCAAAAACGGGCACCATCAAACCATCGTTTTTTAAATGGGTCCCCCCAAATTTGGGGGGTGAATTTGGTGGGACCCCTTTAAAAACCTATGATCAAAAACAGAGACGCCCTCGTCAGCTTCTTTTGGGCCAAAGTCTTTGGCTGCGCATAGGCCCAAGAGGCCGCGGCTGGCAGAGGCGGAAACACACCGCGGCACATGGGCGTTTGAGGGGGGCAAAGGGATCCACCTCTAGGTCTCCCAGTAGCGCCCTTTTACCGTTTCTTTTTTGGGGGGAGGGTTCCCTACTAAAATAGACTACAGAAAAAAGGGCAGCCTTATCTAACCTCTCTACTGGAGGCCCTAGACCTCCTTAGGACCCTTTGAACAACATGTTTTTGTTCATCAGATGTGAAACAAGCCTTAGAGTCCTGATTGATGACAATTGCGAGAGTGTGCAACGGCAAAAGGCGTTGCTTTTGGGAAGAGCTCCACACCTTTTGAACCCGCAACTGTTACCCATGGGTAGAGCCGTTTGCAGGTGTGACCTATGAACGGTGTGACCTGCAAACGCGAAATCACCAGACGACAAGGACTCCTCTTCGCGCAGGCATCGTCACACTCGGCGCATGGCAGGCCCCTCAGAGCGGGACCCGGGGTTTCAGGAAGCACTGGATTGTGCAAGGTCTCTGTTGCAAACCCTGTGCCGTATTTTGTTTCATAAATTGGAGCGATCGAGAGGAGCGTGCCCTTTTCCGGTGCTCTGTGTGTGTGTGTGGCAATTACAAACAGCTTGGCATGAAGTCCAATAGAGGAGCTTCTCATCAAGAAGCACTAGAAAGAACCCAACCAGCTTACAGGGGGTCTCCTATTTTCAAAAGCATCGGTCAACTTTCACAGCCGAGGTCTCCGCACCAGCGCTGTCTCGTTTGTTTACACCGCCCCGTGCCCAGCATGCCAGAGGGCCATGAGAGGTATCTCCTTTGGATGGCAATTAGGGGTACAAAGGGGTCGAAGTACCTTCGTAGAAGGCCGGGGTTGTTCCTAGCGTAATATGCAGAATCTCCAAACAGAGAGTGGAACTTGTCGCAGCATTTGTTTGGGAGGAAACGCCCGGCGCTCGCGCTGTCGCACGTTGAGCTTGGCGTGCCCTGGTGCTCCCTGCATTTGGTTTGCGCGCCATTCGGCATTCGGCGGGAATTTGCTACAGTTTGTCAGTTTGTCCACACTAGCCGTTTGGCATGCTTCCAATCCTTTCCTTCAGGCATCAAATCCTTTCGCTTCAGGCAAGAAAAAGGCCACAAACCACATCCGGGATCACCATCCTGGGCGTCAAGTCACGCAAATTTGGAGCTCACTCGGACCTCTCTGGCAAGGAACGGGGCCATTCAGCTTGGCGTTTCCCAGCCACTTTTTTTTTTACCCGGTTTTCCAGGATTTGGCGAAATGTTCCATGGAACCAACATCTGAGGACAGCCCAGTCCAGGGGTTCGAATGAACGGGTTCTAGAAGGCTTGCATCGAAGGCCATGCATGCCTCGCATTCGGTTTCGGAAACCATTTGTGAGAAGCCCATTCAACGAGTCACCCAAGAAGTGGGTACTTCTGACGTTTGCTTTTTGTTTGAGGGCACCCGTTTGAAGGTTGGTTCAAGGGGAACAAAAAGGACACCTTCCTTTTTGGGACACAGAGTGAACCCAAAACCCCGGTAAAAACTCTTTGACATAGACATGGCACTTTTGGACTAGGCTGATCGGCCATTCAATCCTTTGCTCTTCGAGGAGTGGGTGGAGGCGCGAGTGTCAAAGGCCGAGTAGGGGAGCTGTTTTGGGACGGAGTCACTCACAGCCTTTCGAAAGGAGGGTCATTGCAAAAAACACTCCATAAGCTTGGCACGTGCTGGAGAAAGGTGCGGCCGCAAGCGCTCCACTTGAGAAACACACTGTCAAAGATGTCCACATGACGAACATATCTTGGGTGGGAAAAGCTCACGCTTTACATGGCCAACTGTTTTGTTAATGTTGAAACGCATGTGGAAACATGAACTGTGTCTGCAATGCTTAGCCACAATGGCGCTTGCCATTTTTGGCTCAAGCATTGCCCGTGGGTTCTTTGAACCCAACTTGTGTGAAAAATTTGAGGTTGAACACTTCCGAACTAACCCCGAACCAGCAATGGCTTCCTCGGCAACCTCGGCAACTTCCTTCGAGCTGATTGAGGACCAGACGCTCACCGCGGAGGAGGTGGAAATGGCCAGCCAGGAGGCCCAGGAAATCCGCACGCGCGAGGCGGCAGTGGCGGCCGGCCTGGTGTTGGACGAGCCCGAGGCCCCCCGTCGGCCTCGGCTACCGACGTGATGAACGACCTCTCCAGTGCACTGGAGCGGCTCCGTGTGGCTTTCTCCACACCGACTTCCGGCTTGGGTGCCCCTGGCCCCGCCGAGGAGGAGGACAAGGACATGGACGATGCGGACGCCACGGAGCGGGCTACCCCACCAACGAAGAGGCTGAAGGGTTTCGTGCCGGCTTCCCAGAAGACCACGGCTCCGGTGAACAAACCGGTCTCCCTTGTGCCGGTAGAGGGCCGTCCCGGCTACTTCAAGTTAGTGGACCTCCCAGACCTCTTCCCGGTCCTCCCGGCATCGGCGGCCACGTTGCTGAGGGACGTCACGGTGGAGGAGGCGGTCTCCCTGTTCCACAAGTTTGTCGGGAAGAATCTCACGGAGGACTTGGTGATTCGCATCCTGGAGGCCTATGTTCCGATGAAGATCCAGATCCGACAGGAGGAGGTCTGGGCCTCACAGTTCCAGAGGAACAAGGCGTGCATTGGCACCCAGCGGATGCACAGACTCGATGCCGGCCACTCAGACTACAAATTCATGTGCAAGGCATGCGGCACGGGTTGGCCGGAGGCAGCCAATCAATGCTGTCTGCCCGGGCTGTCACCCTCGGCTACCTACGAGGCGGCTCATTGTGGAGGGCAAGCCGACCTGGTTCCAGCAGCGGGATGGGGGAAGCCTGGGTGCCGCTGGCCCCGGTGGTACTCGGGCACAGGCAGACCGCAACCTGGTGGACGGCACGGTCCTGGGAAGAGCTCCTCCGAAAACGGACACGGCAGAGGAGATCACCATGGCAGACGTGGTCCCGCTTAACAGGCGGGTGGACATCCGGCAGGAGATCCTGTCCATGGAGGCGGACGACGAGGCGTTGAAGGTCCGGGAGCGCCAGGAGGTCAAGGTCAAAGTGCAGCGGTCCCTGAAGGAGGCGGAGGCTCAGAGCTTCCAGCTCTACCACCCCCATGGACCAGGCGATCCGGAAGAAGGAGGAGCTGCGTAAAGCCTTGAGGGAGCACCGGGAACCGACCTCGGCCAGGCGGCACAGGAAGTTGGTCACGGATGAGATGCTGGATAATGAGATGGCTATCCTGGCGCCTCTCCAGGAGGGCATGCAGGCCCTGCCGTCAGAGGAGGTGGCCAATGAGGGAGCCCGGGCCCTGGAGCGATTCAAGGCCAAGTGGCGGGGAAGGGCGTTGACGCCAGCCAGGCGCTGGCCGAGGCACAAGCGCACCCAGGACACCAACCAGGCTTGGATGCTTAACCACACCCTCAAGCCCCTGGAAGTGTCGGCTTGGCCAGATGATCTCAGGCAGGCTCTGGAGCTGGATGACCGAGGACATCCCCAACGTGGGAGACATCAAGGAGAAGTATGTCCCCGACATCCGGAGGCTCAAAAGGCGCAGAACCCATGGAACCAGGAGGCGCTGCTGGAGGAGATGCCCGACCTGGCAACACCGGCCCCCTTCAAGGGTGGGGGGGACCAGTCAATGCCACCGCAGGACCTGGACTCGGAGGAGGGCAAGCTGTCCCTGCTCCTCTAACCAATGAAGAGGCACCAAGGTGAGCTACGGATGTTTGGGGGGGTCACTCAAGCGGTGAGATCCTCAGGGGCGCGGACCAGCAGTTCAAGCTCACGCTCCTGGCCCTGGAGCGCAGGACTCACCCACTCACGTGTGAGCGGGACTACATCGACCCAGTCATCTACTCGGCCTTGGAGATCCGAGCGCAGGTGAACCGGGGCGAGCGCCCGGCGCCGGAGCAGGTGGTGGGGATCTTCTGGGCGAAGGGCGATGGAGTGTTCTGGACAGGGCAGACGCGAACGTGGGACCTGCCGAGCTTGACGGGGGTGTACGCCCACAGGTTCACTTCAAGTACATCTACTCGGCCTGGACCACCTTCCCGCTGGTCGTGAAGACGCAGCGACGGGGCCGCAATGCGGAGGGCTCGGCCTCGGATAAGTGGATGGGCAACATCCTCCAGATGAGGAAGGAGGCGGTCCCCTTCCTGGAGAGCCTGGGAATCCCCAAGCCGCGCAGCAAGGCGGAATGGAGCTACATCTTCAAGGAGATGGGGACGTTTCTGGCGGCCAAGAACTTCATCGTTAACTGCCCATTGCCGGTGATGGAGATCCCAGTGGCCCCCGTTCACGACAGCAAGGAGGCGCTGCGTTTCAGGGCGGTCTGTGACGAGCGAATCACCCTTCCGCTGTCATCTTTGAGGGCTTTCGACTCGGTGTACACCAAGCTGGTGTCGGGCCTGAGTAAGTCCTCCATGGTGGAGGTCAAGGTCAACTGGCGTTGCAACGTGGTCCATGACTGGGTGGAGCAGGTCCCGCAGGAGGCGGCGGGGGCCCTGTACGACCGGCTGGGCTACTCCAGGACCTTATCAAGCAGATGGGTTGCTCCCCCCCCTGGGTGCCTCTGGCCCCGGGGGCGGAGCGGCCAAAGGCCAAGATTCTGGGGGGAGCGGACACCACGCTCCGCACGCCGGACCAGGGCACCAGGCGGTACCCTATCACCACGTCCACGGTCACGGCGGTCGCGGGCCGGAAGTACATCAACAAGCACTTCCCGAAGGAGACGAAGCACGTGTTTTGGGGCCTGGTCCTGCCCAGCATCAGCGCATGGGAAGTGGTGGGCAAGGAGAAGTTCAAGACCACTGGGGGCTACATGTGCAGGTTTTGCAAGGGCTTCTGGAGGGCGAGCCGTGGGGGGACCAGGCTGCTCCAGATCACGGGGTGGCACAAGGACAAGGCCACATGCCTGCAACTGGTGATGGACGAGCCCCCGGAGCAGCTATATAATCAGTGGATTCGGGACAGGATGGAGTTCTACAAGCGGGTGGAGCCGACGGAGCCTCCCAGGGACGAGCGGCTCATCCTTGGAGATGCGAGCACCCCGCGCATGCGCTTCAGCTCCTCGAATGGCCTGGGGGATGTCTCCACTGCCTTGTGGTCGGTCATCTTGAGCAACCCGGAGAAGTCGGTGGCTAAGGAGGCGATCTTGAAGGGTGAGAGCCGCTAGGTCGTGTCTCACTATCCTTTGGATGTGGAGTCGTGAGATCTCTTCCCACCGGGACTTGGGTGCCTCTGGCCCCGCCTCGGGCGGGGGGAGGAGTGCGGGTGTCTCCTTTTGGGGTTTATCTTTCACCGTGGTTTCCCCCCTGTTCAACACGTCACGACTGCTGGTTTGCCTCGATCCTGAGGCTGCACGCTTTGGCTGCCCCAAGGACGGGCCATATCGGCCACAGCTTGGAACAAGTCTGAGGGGGATTTTGGGGAGTTGGTCTTCCCCCCTCCGTGGTTTTGGGGATTTCCGGGGGGTCGACTTTTGGGTACTGTTGGGCTGCATGTGGCCTGCATGCCCCATTTGCACTCGGCATACTGCGGGGTTGGAACATGCATGCAGTGTGCCGCGGTTGGGTCCCGGCCGTTCGATAGGAGGCTCGAACCCCTGTTCTCATCATGGCTAGGGTCTCTACAAAGTTTCTTTTGCGCGCGCCTTACACTCGTCTTTGGGACCGCATTCCAAGGGTCCTGTGGGACACGTTGGCGGATGAGTCCTTCTCCCCAAGACAGACGGACGGGGAGCTGCTGGTCCTGATGTGCCTGCGCCATGGCACGGCAGAGGAAGGGAGGCAGCTGGGCGGGGAGCCGGCCATCCGCTTCGCTCAGCTCCTGGAACTCTCGGGCATTCCGGTGGGCCAAGATGACAAAGTGGTACCAACGGACTACTTCAACGGCCTGGTGGCGTCGGCGGCGGGCAGGCTTCCCCAGCCCGTGTCCGCGGCGGACCTATGGTTCCTCCTCATGGCGGCTGCGGACGGTAAGCTGAGCAAGAACTTTTCCCCGCTGGAGAATGAATGGGACTGCCAGGACCAACTGAGGTGGTTCGCGCGAGATGACCCACCCCCACTCCAACAGCCGGAGCTTCTGAAGTGGAGGCACTGGAGGCCGGGAAGATCAGGGAAATGGAGCCCACGACCCAGCGAGCGCTGGAACTCCACACGTGCGGGAAATGGGCGGAACGGCTCCTTGCCCACTTCGCCCCCTTTGCGGAGCACATTGCATACATGCAGGACATCCTGGGGGAGGACTTCCGCAAGGAAGCATTGGACCTCTTGGGGGACAGCAGGTTCCGGACGCTCAGGCAACATTGCCTGGTTTACGAGAGTCTCCGCAAGAGAGGCTTCGCCGTGATTCCATGGCAGGAACGACATGTCCGCTCTCTCCTCAACCAGCTCGCCGAGGAGGAGGTCACCCCGTGCAAGTTGCGGCAGGTGTGGAACACCCTCAAGTGGTTCTCAAAGACCTTCGGATTGCTGAAGATAGACGAACTCCATCGCCTCAAGTCCAAGAAGAGCTCATTGGAGGAGGCGCTCACGGACACGGTCACCAGGCCGCAGCGTAAGGCGGTGGTCCCCAGCAAAGAGGTCATATGGGCTCTGGAGGAGGGGGCCGGCTACGATTGCCTGGGTGCCACCGGCCCCGGCGCGCAGGAGGCCCCGGGAAAGAGCAGACACGAGGTGCTGGACGCTTTCATCCTGGGGTTCGCCCGGTTCCAGGTTGGTTGCAGCGCTCGCTTCAATGACCTCCAGCACGTTCACCCCAAGGACCTTATCCACACCAGCAACAGTGGAGCTGAAGGCCTCCAAGACGGTCTCTGCAGCACGAATCAACCGCAACCCGGTCCCCTTGATTGCTCCGAAGTACAGCTTCACGGGAATCCCCTGGTGGACTACCTGGGTGGCCTCGGTAAGGCGGTTGGTATCCGAGGAGGCATTCCGGGACATGGACTATTTGCTCCCGACTGTGAGCAAGGACTTTGCAGGGCTGATCCCTCCACACCGGAAAGGGCTCTGAGATGGCTCAAGGATGCTATTCTCCGTCGGGGTGTCACTGCGAAATTGGTGAAGCCGCTGTCGTGGCACTCGTTCCGGGTGTTCATCCCGGACTGCGCCTTCCAGATGGGGATCCCCCGGGAGCGCCGCATGTACCTTGGCAACTGGCTCACGGAGAGCACGGCAGATGTCTACGTGCGGGAGAAGCGCAACGTGGTTGTGGAGATCTGGGGCCAGGTAGCGCAGAAGGTCCCCAACCTGAACCTCGGGCCAGGCAGGGAACGCAGGGAGGACTTGAATCACCCGCACTGGGCGGGCCCGCTCCCGCCGCCAGCAGTGGACATCACGGATGCAGGACCGGAGGGCCGCGAGGACCAAACTGAAAGGGAAGGGGAAGCATCCCCTTTGGTACCCTCAGGGAGCGCGCCATCGACTCGCTCATGGTCAGTGGTGGAACACGGACCCGAGGACACACCAGTGAAGGCTAAGGACCTGTTTCCCGCCACCCCGGACCTCCCCCTTCGGGTGGTGGCGGCGGTCAAGCGCACAGGCAACGCCGGCCAGTCCAGAATCCACCTGCTGAATGTCGAAGGCACGGCTGTGGGGTGCGGTTGGCGACCGGCGGCTTCTAAGGTCCAAGAGCTCTCGGTGCTGGACTACATGACGGAGCAGGAGGCCTATGGCAAGTGCGAACGTTGCTTCAAGAGGCATGGCTTCCCGGCGGACTGGGCACCTCGGACTCCTCGGCGGACTCGGGCTCTGAAACACCCAGTCGGAGACCGAGGTGGTGGCCCTACCGTTGGTAGCCGTCACCAAGGGAGAGCTGGATGATTGGTATGCCTGGTTCTATGGGGAGGACATCGCCGGCAGGAAGCCTCCCCCGAGCGACACCACCTTGCTTTTCGCAGAGCGCAATGCATGGCGCAAGATCCACAAGATGGTGCACCAAGGCACCACTCTCTCCGAGGCCCTCAAGATTATCAGGGGCGACTTCCTCTTCTGGCAACGGGAGGTCTAAGCAAGGGCAAGGCACCCAAGGTGTGGCAGACTCAGTGGGAGAAGCCTGGGGGTCACGGACCCACCCCTGACCTCGCCGGGCAACTGGACGCTCAAGAAGGAGCTGAAAGGGGAGGAGCCGGAATTCCAGGAACTCCCTCACCCAACGGGCAGGGGTAACTACCCCTCGGCGGATCACTTCAGCGAGCTCATCCGGGGCACATTTCTGGAGGAGGTCCCCATGGGCATGGTGGAGGGCCCCTTCAGTAAGGTGGAGGCAGCATCGCGCTGTGGCTGCGGAATTGAGGACCTTTGTCCGGGCCCCCTAGCGGGCATCGACGAGGGGGACAAGATCCGCACGATCTACGATGGCTCGGTGGGAGGGGCCAATGACACCATCAGGAACCAGACGGTGGAGAGGACGACGGCTCCGACGGCTGGATGGGGTCCAAGCTCTTCATTGGGCCCCGAAAAAGGGGGGTCGTCAAACCTCCACCTGGGGGCTGGCTATGGCCGGAGCCGGGCACCAGGTGGGTGCTGCTCAAGGCGGACGTCACCAAGGCCCACCGGAGAGTGAAGGTCCTCAGGAAGGACTGGCGGTTCCAAGTGGCCTCACTGGGGAAGAATGGTGGGTGAACAAGGTAGGCACATATGGCATGCCTTTTGCTCAGGGTCCTCTACGCACTTTTCCCTCAAGTGGATTGGAACTTCGTCTTTGTCGATGACTTCCTGTGGCTGCTTCGAAGCGAGGGGGCCGTAAACTTGGCGGTGGCGCTGCTGGCAACACTCCTGGCCTTGGGTACCCCGCTTAGCTGGAAGAAGACGCATTTGGCGGAGGTTAACACGTGGCTGGGTTTCGTGGTCCACCCGAACATCCCGCAGGTTCCCATGGCAGCCAACAAACACATCCTAGTTATGGAGGTTTTGCAGACCATGGTTGAAGGGCAGGCGATGCACTCAAAGGACATCGAGAAGGCCCTGGGTCGCATCCAATGGGCGACGGCTGCATGTCCCTTACTTGCCGAAGTCCTCTTGGTGGGGTTGCAGCAATGCTAGCGCCTCGGACGACGGACTGGCATTTGTGGGAGGCTGGTGCTCCAACAAAGTGGAGCCGGAGAAGAAGGAGGTGTACTGGTTCCACGAGCAGATCCACGTGGAGGAGTACCCTTGGGCCTTCAAGAATGGGGATCCCAAGCGGAGGATTGCGGCTCTGGAGATGCTGGGCACGCTCTTCCTCTGTAACATGATCCTCACGCACCAAGGCCCTCTGTCCTCCCGGGTCCGACTCCCTGACAATCAGGGCAACGTCATGGCGATGCTCAACCTTGGATCCAAGAAACCCTACACGGCGGCGATCCTGATGGAGCTGGTCACCCATGGCTGCTCGCTGGCAGCCAACCACGTGCCCCGTGAATTCAATCAATGGGCTGATGAGCTGACGCACCCAGATTTCTCTGGGTTCGACCCTTTGCAAAGGGTCCCCAAGCAGGAACTTCGTGAGGAGTTCGTTTTTCTCCTGCGTCTCCTGAATGGAGATGCATTTGACCTCAGCGTGGGCCCACCCATGCTCCCGTGACCGGAGCCGGTGGGTGACTCACTTCCCCTGGTGGCAGACCCCCCTGTGGCCTGGGTGCCACGGGCCCCGGCTCAGGGGCGGGCGCTATCAGTCTGCACACCCTTCAGTTTTTGAGATTGTGAGTTGGGTGGCCCATGGGGCCCACCCAGCCTTTGTTTGTCATCTGACAGGGGAAGTTGAGTCCCTGGCACCAACACACTGCTCGGATAAAAGAGTTATTGCGTGCTTGTGTGTGGTGCCGTTTGGTTAGCTTGCGTACACTATTGTATCTGTTCAGCCCTCTTCAAACCGGAATGTTGGCAGCGACCCAGCGGCCCATTGCCCGCCCACCCCATGGCTGGCGTGAAGCGGAGATAAACAGTATAAACAGTGACTCATGATTTCACATCACTCAGGATTATGTGTATCAGATCAACCCGAAATATGAATTGTTTCCCACTACCGCGAGGCCACCGCTGATTACATTTGATTCCCTGAAAGCTACCAGGAACAGCGGCAACTCTGTCACTTCGAGTTTATGGTGGGTTTACTCGCAAGGTTTAGGGAATCAAGCGTATGTCCTCCAGACAAATCCGACGTTCATATGGCTGTGGGTCAACACCAATGGTACCGTTTTGGGGTAGGTGCACCACCCATTTTAGAACCTATTAGAGTTGTTGGATTGGGTCCCGTTCACTGGGGGTACAAAATTTTGATCCATGGCCATATGAAGCATCACAGCCAGCCCAGGCGGGCGGTCCGCCCAAGAGCATCTGCAGGGCCAAGGGCTTGCTGTGGATGCGCGGCGCCGAGTGACCTGCATGCCTCCGAAGGTTGCGTGTCACTTTAGCCCAAAGGATCCCAACAGGAACGCACTTGTTGGGTCCCCTATTTTAACAGACCCATTGAACGACACGCTACGGAACTGAGGCAAGGAATTCCGCGCCACGTGATCTTCCAGCTTTCTGGCTGCAGGAGCTTTGAGTGCTGGTCACTGAGATCTGCGTAATTTAAGTGATTGGATTGCCACATAAGCAACGGACAATATTGCCAGGGTTTCGGTTTTGGTACTACTGTATCGGCTTTGCAGGTTGATGGGTATCTTTGTTCGTGCCCCAGTTAGTTGGTGGTGGCATTGTCGGGTGTTGCAGAGAGGCTGGTTTCGGTAGAGTAGTAACTGCATGCCTGAGTTGTAGGAGGTTCTGCAATGCGGTTCCGCCTTCTTTTGAGGGTACCCTTCTTGAGTTGGTTTAAAGGGAAATGAAAAGGAACATTTCTTGGAGATAAAGCGAAAAGGAAGCCATCCGTTTTGGGGGCTCTCCTTTGAGACAAACCCATGTGGCACTTGGAAGGCTGGTTCTGGCTTTCGGCTTCCACTTGTGTTTCCTCGCCAGCGAGGACGAATCCATTCGAGACTGTACCCGGCGGATCGCTTGGGCCTTGAGGTAAGAGGAATCAATCCGCGACGCGAGTACCGAGCGCCCCAAGCTCGCCGCAGTGCAAACGATGTTTGAGTCGATGTGGCTGTGGGTCAAAACCAATTGTACCATTTTGGGGTAGGCACCCATTTTAGAACCGATTTTAGTGGGGATTGGGATGTTCACTGGGGGTACGATTTGGATTTTGACCCATGGCCATGTGGTGACATTTTCTAGGTCAACCCCCTTGCTCCCGTTGCTATGAGCTACGGACAGCTCCTATTGACCATGCCAGCCAGAGACTGTTTGCTCAGCTTTTGCACTGATCAAGTGCTCTGAACATTTGTTTAACATGTTTCAACGAATGCTGCAGGTGTTAATCTTAATTATCAAACAGAGGCTGGGGCAACTAATAGCGAAAGGCAACTCCAGGATAGAAATGGAAGAATATCTCGAAACGTCATATACACACATTTTGTAACGCGTTACAAGAATATCCGTATTGCCTGATAGCTGGTGTTCGAACAGTTGTTTTGATTATGGAGTGGATACCTTCGATTCCTGGGCGTCCTACGGCCAGTATGTTTCAATTTGGCCTTCCCCAAGCTTACGCATAGCTTGTCGAGCTGTATGGTTCTATGTGTGAGTTCCCGAGCTCTTTTGATGACTCGGTCCGTTCTCCCGAAGTACAGCTTGAACCACCGGCCTAAGGCGGGCATTGCGGGAGCCCAATGCTTACGGACAAGAACTGTATAACAGCTGGTGCTTGGAAGGGAGCAGCAGAGCCTTTCAGAGTTCAAGGACATGTTGGGCATGTGGTGCTCGGGTTTTCCTAAGTTGGAGTCGACTTCCAGTGGTCCAGCCAAGTTTGATTCTTGGGCAGCAAAGGAGCTACAAGGAGTCCTTTTGTTGCCAGCCAAGTCACCCCCAGTTCTGTAAGGACATAGTGTCAGAATAGGGATCCCAGAAACAACCTGTTGCTTTCCCTTGGCTCAAAAAACACAGACCCACTTGGTGGGTAACTTATATCGGTTCGTCGAGCCGCCAGTCCCACGGCGAATCGCCACGAGGCCGCCCAGCAGCTCGCGACTGGTCTTCATCGGGGCGCGGTGCTTGATTGGGGCAGGTGGAGGTTGGGCCTGCCGGCCCGGCAGGCCCCCCGTTTTGTCCTTTTTCCCAGACACCCAGCCTAGCAATCCTGGCGATTAGCACCTTGTCTTGTGGTGGAAGGCCTGTCTTAGCCATCCTGGTAGAAGCAAAAGTCACGGTTTTGCGCGCTGCTCACCATGGGATCCGGCGATTTTGAGGCCCCTGCAGCTCTAGAGGAAGAGGCCAAGGCGGGCAAGCCACAAGTTCGAAGCCTCTGCGTCAAAGTGCAACTAACTAGCAATCCAGGGAGATTGAACATTGTTTTTTTCTACCTGAGGGGTTTTTGGGAATCCACTTTTTAGTGATTCAAAGGCACTCTAGCAATATGACTGTTAGTCTACTGTTGGGGCATGATAAGGGGGGAACGGACAAAAACTAGGGGGATTGCACCGGGCCCCAATTTTCGCATTGGGAGCCTTTTTGTCCAGCCACCGAGTTGTGTTGTGTCCCTCCATGATCCTTTGTTGGGTCCAACAAGTACGTTTTTGTTCTTCTTTTTTCCAGCAACGTTGTGGGTCCAACAAGGTTTTGGGTTGGATAAAAACCTGCCATCGCCAGTTCCTTTTTTTGTCGAGGCAACCTTAACCTGCTTGGGTTGAACAAATCCTGCCATCGCCAGTTTCTATTTTTCCCCACCAACCTTAGCCCGCTTGGGTTGCAACAAACCTGCCATTTCGCAGCAACCTTAACCTTTTTGGGCCTGCTTGGGTTGAAAAAGCCTGCCATCCCCAGTTCCTGTTTTTTCCTGGCAACCTTAACCTGCTCGGGTTGAACACAAACTGCCATCGCCAGTTCCTTTTTTTGCCCAGCAACCTGAACCTGCTTGCGTTGAACAAAAGCTGCTGTCGCCAGTTCTTTTTGCCAAAACCTTGACCTGCTTGAATTGAAACACAACCTGCCATTGCCAGTTCCTATGTTTCACCAACCTGAACCTGCTTGTGTTGAACAAAAGCTGCTATCGCCAGTTATTTTTTCCCAGCAACCTTGACCTGCTTGAATTGAAACACAACCTGCCATTGCCAGTCCCTATGTTTTACCAACCTTAAATTGCTCGGGTTGAACAAAAGCTGCTGTCGCCAGATCCTTTTTCCCAGCAAGCTTAGCCTGCTTGGGTTGAAAAACCTGCCATCGCTATTTTTGTCCCAGCAACCTTAAATTGCTTTTAGGTTACCTTTAGGTCCTTCTAGGCGTTTGCCCAGGTGCGGCGAGCTTTAGATGCTTGCCTTGCGGGTCGCGAGTCGAGCGAAAATCGGCGAGCGGGGGTGACAGCTGCGGGTCCTTTTGGTGTCTCGACAACCCGTGAAGTAGGGCGGTTTTTCCTTTTGGTTTGTACCTGTGAACTAACCCAGAAGGGTACCTACCATGCATTGGAGGTAAGCTGGAAAGGAGACGTTTGCTCACACACACAGTTATGTGCAGCGTTCTGCGTCGGAGTGCTCAACTCGAACAGCTAATCGAACAGCTGACGCAAAGCCATTTGAGATTGCGTTTGTTCAGTTCCCACTAGTAAGCACGATCGCTGCGGCGTGAGTTGGGGCCGCTGCGAGACTCTGCAACACTGCCACACTCTGTTGAAAGCTGCGCCACAGCAGTACGCCCATGTTACACAGGCAAAGGATCTCAATGTAACAAAGTCAATCCTACGTCCACTGGGTGAATAAACGCATGATGCTATTTTCTGAGTGTTGCAGCTCAGTCAGCGCAGTCGGCGCATGCGCGCCTCGCGCGCTGGGCTCTTCCTGCTCTATGAGGCGGAGGCTGGGTTTAGATCTCCAGTTCGAATCATTTGCCCTAAAGAAGCAAAAGGCTTTGAAACAAAAGCCCTGAACATCCTTTATTTGACTCGCTGGATGGGGCCTGGTTGGCTTCAGAACTGTACCTGTTCAACAACCGCTCAGTTTGAACTGCGAAGTCCTTTGCGAGAAAGCACCACTCATTTGTGCAATGGGATAATCATGGTCTTCTCGAAGCATCCATTCAGTCGGACCTTTTGAATCCCAGCAAATAGCGGCAAAGATGAATTTGCTTGAATCTAACCTGCCTGTTTCAGGGCATTTCACAGTCTTTCGCTGCAGAAAAGACGTTCCTGCTCGTTTCATTGTTCTTTTTTCTCGTTCTCCGCTGGCTGATTTCTGTGCTGTCCATGAAAGTCAAATACCTGGAGCATGAAATGGCTTCATCAGGTCTGGCACGTTTTCGCGAGGCTAAGGTACGTTGCAGTTACACACGCTACCAAACCACGTGGGGGTCGTTGTAAAACCCTCTTATTATTGACAAATTGCATTTTTCTCGGTTTGCGTAGTGGAAATGGCGAAGCCAAAAGATAGCTCGCCTTCGGATCCCGTGCTTTCATGAGTGGACGTAACTTGTTTTGTTGTTTCTTTGCAATCGCAGAAGCTCTGCGGAGGCTCCGCAGCTTGTTATATGCATCCGATTGGGTTGAGGGCTCCTCTCATGTTTTGCTTGGCCGTTGCAGGGCTCTTGTTCCAGGCGCTCACTCACTTGGGTGGCGTTTCCCTGCTTTGCCTTTCGCATGCAAACAAGTAAGAACATTCACAGAAGAAGAAGCTGCGGGATCCGCCTAAGCTCGCTGGCGCCCACTCACAGAAGCCCGTGGAGCCGCAAAACCTTGTCGCGTGACGCATCCCGGTTTTGACAAGCTGACACACACACACACACACAATGGAAACCTCAAACCACAGTCGCACAGCCTGGCGCAGCACAGTGCCTCCGACCCCTGAGCAGCCCTTAGAATTTGCACAAGTACCCTGGCGACCACGGGCGACACCTGCATCGCCTCACGCACGCTCCGGCACACGTAATTTGTACTGGAAAACGCCTTCGGTAGCAAGGCCAACGTGTTTTCAGAACGCGTTTTTCTTGGCATCGCGGCAAACAGGCCAAGAGAAAACGCTTAGAACAAGCCGCGCGTGGCTACTAAAATGCCCAGCAAATATGCGTTCAACCAAGAAGGGGGCTTCTTTATTTTCTGATTTCTGTGGCCTTTTTTTGGACGCCTAGGAAGGTTTGACCCAGCCGCAGGGGGGGCGAGGGATTGCAGCAGTTTTTACACCAGCACTAGTGGTGCCAGTTTGTGTGTGTGGGTGTGTGGGTGTGTGCTTGTTTGTTTGTCGGTTGTAAGGGCAGTCCGGCATTCTTGTAGGGGTTCGTCCACATATTTTGGAAACACCCAACCAACCAACCAACCAGCCAGCCAGCCAGCCAGCCAGCCAGCCAGCCAGCCAGCCAACCAGCCAACCAGCTAAGCCAGCCAAGCCAGCCAAGCCAGCCAACCAGCCACCCAACCAGCCAAACCAGCCAAACCAGCCAAACCAGCCAAGCAAACCAGCCAAACAAACCAAGCGCCCGGCTTTCGTGCCGAGAAAGGCGCACCCGCTTTGGTCCCGCAGCCTCGCGCGGAGCTGCTGCGACATCTTCCCGAGCCGCTTCCGCACCAACGAGCAAGGCGGCTGCTCGATGGAGTCGGTCGAGTTTCTTCGCGTCCGGGTGACAAGCCGCCCCAAAGCCCTGGAAGGTTGATGGGATTTGTTCCCTCTTGAAACCGGCAACACGTCCGATCTTTGTGGTTTGGGGCCCCTAACATGTAGGTAGCATGACATGTATGTATATATATATATATATTATATACTATATACATAATCTATACTACATATTACAGATCTATACCAAGATTTGAAGGGCTCGCTGGCTAAACAGAATGCATTGGGCGTTCGGGGAAGGTTCAAGGACTTCGGACTGCGTGGGGATTGCTTTAAAGGAGGTCCTTTTTCCGCCCGCAAGAACCCCGGGAGCTCAAAAGGGTTCCTGCCCAGATTGCGGGGTCCGGGTGCAGCTTTTCCAGGATTCAAGCAAATCTTGGTTGTTTTTGGAGCAAGCCCTATGAATTTGAGAGGTGTATTTTGCGGTCAAAGTTTCTCATGGCAAATCTGGGTCGACTAAAGTGACCTCCTCCAATATAACCTGGACCCTCTAAACGGCAGGTCAAGGGACCCCCGGCAAAAAAATCGAGAACCCCTCCAAATGTTCGCTCCAAGGAGTCCACTCAACTCTTCGCTGACAGGTCATGAGGTGGGCGTCTTTGATTGGCCTGCGTTGAAGCTTCCGGCGGCTCCGGTCAGCGTGTACGTGCCCTTGCGTTTGGGTCTGAAACTGATGGACCCGGACCCAAAAATGGATTCTTCACTTCTGGCTTAAACGGCAACCCCTAGGAAGTGGGCACACTCATGCGACTCTTGCCAGTTTCAGGGTTGCCTGGACTTTCAAGCATGACCCCATCCAAAGGCAACGGCCCCAAAAACAGGTAGCGCCAAAACTGAAACCCACCAAATGTCTTCTACATGGCAAGCATCACCTTTTGGAAATGCCATTTTGAAGGGAGTTGCCTTTTGTGGGGTGATGCTTTTCAGTTGGAAGTGGGAGCCCTGAGGACAAATCTCACACACTGCGCTGTAAAGGTACCCTCCATGGACATGGTGCAATTCTTGCCACGTGCCTTGGCCCAAGGGGTGTCCAGCTTGTTTTTTTTGGCAGGGGTTGCCCCGTCTTCTTTTTTTCGTCGCTGAGTTTTTTTTCCTTCCGAGGGCTGCCCATTTTGTCATTTGGTTGCCCTGTTTTGTCATGCGTTACAGGGGTTGTTGTTCTGATTCGGAATTGGGGTAAACTTCGGATACATTTCATATTTTACCCATGACTGGAAGTGAAGCAAACAATACCATACTCATTCTATAACTGGGCCTAACTTCAATCATGGGGCATTTCAGGATGTTGTATTATGTTTCATGGGTGCATCATCTTTTGAACCAACGTTGATTCAGTTTCCTTTTGGTGGAATGATGCCTCAAGTAGGAATAATACAAAGAGCCGTGTGTGGGTTGTAAGAGATTGGTTGGCGGGCGGCAAGTCGAGACGTCGAGCAACCCTCACCCATTCATCAACTCACATCGCATCGTTGCATCCCCCCTTACAGATCAACTTGGAGCTTCTCAAAAGCATTTGTTTAGAGGAATCCCTATTTCAGAAAGCCCCTTGTTTGGATTCCATGTTTATTTGCGGGGGAGTAGTGCTCCAGTTCGCGCCTTTCGAGGCTTTTTTGCATCACCACCTACTGCGCGGATCACACTGGTCAGTGGGCAGGAGGATCTGCAGAAGTGTTGGGAGTTGTGTTCCCCAGCATTCAAAGGACCAAGCGTGGCCCACAAGCGGACCCACCTAGACCCGATGTTACCCCCAACATTGGGCTTGAGGGCTCCACAGCGGCCTATTCAGCGAACCATTCCGTTCATCGCGCTGGGTTGTACAGAGGTTGGGAGGGCTTGCGGCTTGGGCGTGGAAAGGCCTGCTCCATCCACGGCTGGGAGGTTCACTTCTTGGAAGCCCACAGCTTCCCTTCCCAGCCTGTTGCTATGTCTACTCCTGTTTAGACAATGTCGATGTTGCGAAGTTTTGCTTTCCTGGTTTGTCGCTGGGGCTTGCCCTTGGGGTAAGCTTGCCATTCCCCATTCCTACTCCCGCTTTTGGAGCGCAGCTATTCCCAATGGTGAATCCTGCTTCGTGAAGAAAAAGAAGAAGAAACACAGACAACATACTGCATGAAGACCGCGCATGCACTTAGCAGAATTATACAAGTAGACTTAGTATAAAGCGCATGTATATGAACCGCGAACGCTGCATACGCAACACGTGAAATATATTGTTTCGGTTGTTTCTCAACACCCTTAGGGAAACCAAAAGGAAGCACACCATTTGACCCACCATCTGAAGGGGTCCCTTAGCATAAGCTGCGGAACTAGGCGTCGATGGGCGCGGGCTTGCGATCTCGCCACTGCCCAAGGGTGAACCCAAGTTGTCAAAACTCGGCCCAGGGCCCCGTGAGCAGTGAAGATTCTATGCACTTTGCAAACAGACACACCCTGGACAGGACAGTACCCGCTGCTTTTGGGACAGCGCCGAGGGGATTTTGCACGTGGGAAAGCGCAGTTGGGACCCGGGTGCTGGAGCCGCAGCGGCTCGCCGCCAGGATGTGGGCGTGCCCTGCGAGCTCTTCCGCGCCACACACTTCGCGCGGCCGGAGCCGCTTGGATGAACGGGCGTGAATTTGGGTGTGTCTGTTTCTGAGTTGGCACCCGTTTTTTGGCTAGATTGAAAGGGAAAGCAAGAGGAAAGCCACCATCGTGGAAGGCCCCCTCCCAAAATGAAGCACCCATTTGTGGACCGGCCAAGTTGCTTTTTGTCCATACCTGTCCCAGTTGATGCAAACGACCATGAGGAACATTGTTTGACCTGTGCCAGGATCGGGACGGAGCTACATTGCAACCGAACAGGTGTTCAAAAAAGATTCCTTTGAGAGTGTGCCGTTTCTTTTTTGAATGGCAGTTGAAATCAGTGGAAATTGTTTGAACGTGATAATCGTCCCTGTTGGCAATATTTGAGAGCCAGAATTTCAACCTTGGTCAGAATTCGAATTTGGCAATTTTATCCCTGTTTCGGTGGGTCTTTTAAATAGGGGACCCCCCGAGATGGTGGCAGTCCCTGGAGTTTCTCTCTAGAACCACCCCAAAAAGGTGCCCCGAGAAAAGACACGTCCGCTTTGTCCCGTCTTTCGCAAAAGGGGGCCGCCTTTGAGGCCCTGTTTTTTGTCGCCGCTCAAACATCGCCCCCGCAGAACCCGAACACTTGTCCAATGTAAGTCCCTGCAGGTAGTTTGGCACGGACCCCCCCCTTGAAGTGTCCGCGCAACCATCTATTCGGGTACCAACGCAAGGTTTAGTAATTAGCCTGTTTGCGGATCCGCCTTGAAAGAACGGCACTGAAAGCGGGTCTCCTTAAAGAAGCATCTAGCTGCTGCCAAGGGCTAGTTGCAGAATTGTCAGGAACAGAAACGCCGAGCAACACAGAAATGGATTCTCCAAAGATGGGGGTCCACAAATTGTCGGTTTCCGCTTGGTTGCCTTGTAAAAAGCAACCCAAAGGAGCCCTCAAAACATCTCAAAACAAGACACACCCAAAATAGGTTTGTCTCCAAATAGGGGACCCCAACACTTGGTTTGCTTCTCTTGGTTTTCCTTCAACGCCAACCAAATTTGGGTATCCTCAAAAAAGACAGCAAAACCAGCGGTCGCCAACATGGAACCAGCGCCAGGTTTTTCTCTGTGCATCCTGCGGCGCCGACTCCTCAGGCGAATTGTTGGCTCTCTTTCCTTTTCGGGTCAATGTAAAGTGAGCTTCCTTTGGGCTGGGTGATGCTTCAAGGGGAAGTATGTGAGTGATGCAGAGCATGGTCTCGCAGAACTCTGAGGAAAGCAGGTTGTCGAACAAAAGCAGCGCATGTCATTCTGGCGAAGCCAGCAGTTTTGTCCGAAGGCTCATGCAGGTTCCTGGTGTTTGTTCGAGCTGACCATTCCAGCACTGTCATGCACAACGAGGATGAGGCAAATATTCACAACTGCTCTGCATGATGCACACGTACATCACTACATTACCTTGCTACATTACATTACTACGTCACATGACATGACTACATTACATGAATACACTACATTAGTACATGACACTTCTACTTTACAATGCTACGTTACATCACTACATTACAGTACTACACTATGTTACTACAGCACATGACTACATTGACTACATCACGACTACATTGCATTACTGCACATTACATTACTCCGCTACAGGGCACGTAACATTGCACTACCTTTTTACGGTACACTACTACGTTACAATGCTACGTTACATGACTACATTACATTACTACACTAAGATACTACAGTACATGACTACATGGCAGTACTACATTGCCTAACAACACTACATTGCTACGTCATATGACAACATTGCATTGCTTCATTACATAACTCCGCTGCATGTCTACATTACAACACACTACACTACTGCGTCACATGAGTACAGTGCATTCCACTACATCACAGTACTACATTGTATGGTGTCTCTACGTTACATCACACATTACATGACGACATTGCATTACTACGTTACATGATTGACTACATTACAAAACTACATTGCATGCCTACCCTACATGACTGAAATGTATTACTGCGTTGCATCCATACATGTGATTACTATATTGCATTACTATGTTACATTCGTACGTTACATTACTACAATACATGAGTACGTTACATGACTATATTCCTTTGTTACCTTACTACAATACATTGCTGCGGTGCATGACTACATTACTTTTTGCATTGCTACATTACATTTCTTCATTACACTACTACATTGCATTCCTTCATTACATTACCCTACTTAGTCCTCCTTTGCGTTGCATTTCCCAATTTGCCCTACCTTACCGTGCCTTCATATCTTATCTTGCCTGCCTTGCATTACATTGTATTGCGGTGCGTTGCATTACATGACCATTGTCGTTTACATATGCATTTGCGATTACCTTCACACTATACATAATACTCACTTGTGCATACATGCATATTTTTTACCAGCCATGTATGGGAAAATGCTGAGGCAGTCACCGATGCTAAGCCATGGACCATCCTGTGATAAAGGGCCTGGGGCCGAATCCTAATGGCGCCCGATAACGGGGTAGTGGGCACCCCAGATGAATGAAACCCTGGTGGATTAATGAGGATTTTTTTCCGTTTTTACTGCTGGGGGTAAATTACCATGGGGGGGGAACTCCTCCTATTTATTGGACGGGTTTATTAAGTTGGGGTCAACATTCGTATGTTTTTATGAGGGACCCCCTGGTGGACTTGCTGAGGATTTGTGTCCACCTCGAACCTTTCGAGAGTCAAGAATGGGACCTGGTAAACACCATAGGCGTGGTTCGACATCCCAAAGTGGGGGCAATGGCAGAGTGCAAGTATTTGCAAAGACTTCTCCTGAGATTATGGTAAGTTTTAATGGTACCCCCAATGCCCCCATTCCTAAGAAGATATTCTATTGCTTTTACTGGCTTTTGGCTTTGCCGGTTTTATTGGCTTTATTGCTTGTATTGCTTTATGGGTTTTTGGGCTGTTGAGCCTCTTTTTCAGGCACGAAGGTGGTCGCTCTCCTTGGCCAACCTCTCGCAGCTCTTGAGCGACCTGCGGCTGGTGCACTGGTTCGTGCAGCACCTCGGCGCGGTTGGAGGGGGTTCCGTCCATCTGGGTGGCTCGGTGTTTTGAGGCTCGGTATCTCTACAGAGAACTTCGTGGGAAAAGCACAGTTTGTGAGGTAGCGCCAGTTTCGTATGCTTATATCGTGAAGATGGCCACATCGAAAGGCACGCCTTGCGTTTCACAATGGTTCCGAGGCTTCGGGAAGGGAAGTTTTTCGGGGGAAGTTCCGGCGAATGAGTGACGGGGCGATGCCGTTGGGCGTCCTCGTTCTTTTTGGCGCGAGCCCCATTTTTTAAATTGGGGGCAACCCTTGGACGGACTCATGTACTATCATGTACTCCAAATGGGCTCCCAACCCCCCGATTGGCCATTCTTGTGGTTTTACTTCCTTGTTCAATAGGGGCCATGGCAAAGATCATATGATCCATTCTAATTGTGTTTGGTACCAGAAGTCAGCAGGTTTTGGGGCGGCTCAAGCCTGGGGACCAGGACAAACAATTTTTCGTCATGGGGGATGTTGGGCACATAGGGAAGCAGCCAAATTCCCAAACACCATCCAATGTTCCTCTCTTTTTGGGAAACGTTCCGAAGTGGAACTATCATTGATGCACGATGTTCCTGTCGAATTCATGCCTCTTCTTTTAAGGAGCACCCCCAAAATAGTCTTTCCAAGGGCTCCTCTAGATGGTCATTGTCATTTGATGGCCTTTGCTCCGCAAGAATTTTCTCGACTCGAGGAACTATGATGCAACGGACTGCCTGCAGGGTGGGCGGCTCAGGACACGAGCACCCAAGCCAAGAGACATCTCCAGAAAGGCAGGTCAGAGAGTTATTCCCCTCGTCATGGGTGTGGAAATCCATGAAATTCTGACAGTGTCCGGTTGCAGATCCATCAGAAACAAAACCTCTTTTGGTTCTTTGGGCGCTTGTAACTCGTAACCTTTTTTGCCAATGACTGGAGCCTTTTCAAAACCCCCTTTGGATGCTGTGCTGGAAGCCAAACGAGCACATCAATTCTTGATCGTGGGGCGCATGCATCGTGTCCTTTTTGGATGCTACCTTGGGTGTAAGTGGTATCTTGGGGCCAGCATTGAAAACTTTTAAGGGCAACTGTTTCGACGGTATGTTGGAGGCAACATCAAAACAAAGCAGAACCGTTTATCGTTTTGTGTCGGTACCATTGGACCAGAATCTAACAACGCATCCTACCAACGGATATCGCCAGCGAAGCGTTATACCCATCAACTGTGACTGGTGGGGTAAAATGGCCATGAGGCTCCATTTTGGGCTGGATGAACATCCATTTGCCACCTATTTTGATGTTCACCAGGGGTACAGGATTTTGACCCACAGCCCAATGTTTGTAATTTTTCAGCAACCCCTGCCCTCGATCGCAGGTGAGCAGTTGATGAAGCTCAGCCCTCTGCCCTTGGGCATCGACCTCCACACCACCACTGAGAAGGCCCAGCCCCTTTCTGTTTTGGGCCGGTCAAATAGCGCAAGGCACCCCTGAAAAAGGGATACAATGTTGGGTGTGATTTTGGTGGAACCATTCCTTGGGAAGGAACCACAAAAGGTGACTGGGGGCTCCTTCAAAACCGGGCAGACTGAGTATGCAAAAGACTGAATAAAATATGCTCGGAGCCCTGTTGGCCAACCTTGCGCTTGAGTTTTGCGTTCACACACAGCAGAAGCCTCAAAAAGACGCATTGCTTGTTGCGTTCGAAAAGCGCCTCCGAATCCACTCAGAGTCAAAAGCCACGCATCATGCATATCCCCCCCCCCCCTGTTGGTCCATAATCCCCCTAGGCGACGTTAGGGGACCCCTGTTCCGGCTGTCTTTTTCCACGACTTTTTGTTTGGTGCCAGGTGTTATAGCTTTGGGGTGTTCGATGCATTTGTTTTTGCTTTTGCGAAATACTGTAGCTACGTAACGGTTGATATCTGCAATAGATTTGATCCGCTCCGAAGCTGTAACATAGATGAAACAACAACGCGAATTCCAGGTGCCGACGTGCGGTTTTTGAGAAGCCGAAAGCACGTACTTCTTGCCTGAATTCCAAATATCACAGGTAGTTGCCGTTTTGTTTGATTGAGCCAATCAGAAGCCAGAACGTCGGCGAGCAACGCGTGAAACCTCACATTCATGTCCGGGGAGGGGCAGCCGTATCTTCGCTGGATGTTCTTGGTTGCGAGTCGCGAGATGTTCTTGGTTGCACTTGGCAGTTGTTTGGACAATTAATCTATGCAATCAGCTGGTTCCTCGGCTTAATTGGGATCGGTATATGGTCCTCAGGATGAATCCCAAGTTCGAACACATGGCCATGGGTGAAAATCGTGTACCCCCACTAAACATCCCAATCCCCACTAAAATAGGCTAAAATGGGTGGTGCACCTACCCCAAAATGGTACTGGTGTTGACCCACGGCCACATTGACATGACACGGAGGACCTTTGTGTTTCGACTATGGGATTGGAGGTTGCTGGTTGGTCCTTTAGCCAACCTTCAAGCTGGATGCGGAGGAGTCATGTTTAGCCAAACCCGCGCGTGCAAATTGGGAAGGGTGTTTGGTATATGTATCCAATGAATATATATATATATACACTATGTATATAGAGTACACCCTGGAATACTCGGGTTTTTGACAAGAAATCGACATGTTGGCTGTAGTAAAATGCAAAAGAACACTTTCCCGCTTCTAAAAACTGATGCTCTAAAAATTCACGACTGAAATTCTAGCATCGGTATTTAGTGCAATCCAGGATGTGCTAGCACGTGCTAGCACATATTAGTTGGTTTCCAGGATGGAATTGAAGATTTCCAAAAGGATGTGCAACTCCATGCAAATGCCAACCAAGCAGAAGTTAAGCTCAAGGTTGAATGGAAGATCCCATTTAAGCAGTCTGAGAGTCACATTGGCCTGCGGGAAGTGTCAGTTTTGCTGGGTTTCCAGGTAACTCTTTGTTGTGCTTTGGACTGTTGTGGGAACTGGGGGCTTGAACCCAACTTTTTGAAACCCACTGGGAATGCCGGGCACCTGGGCCTCCAAACCACCGGGCCAGGGTTTGCCGGGCAGCTCAGCCAATTGGTTCATCAGTTCCAATTGGTTCGCAAGAAGGGCGTGGTGCTTCATGCGGCCTCCGAATGGGGGCAAACATGGGCTTTCTTGAATGCCGCTATCAGATTTGTGCAATCCAGCAGCTGGACTTGCTCAAGTTGTGCATGTTGATTGAGGGGCCATGGTGCCTGAGGCGGAGACAAGCACCTCAGGCAAGGGCAAAGTGGTCTACAAACCCGGCGCTTGTCAGAGTCCGTATGGGCTTTAGAACGCCCAACTAAGCCTTGAATGTCAAGTTGCCAGTGCCGAGCAACGTGCAAGCTCGGCTTTCAACCAAAGAGGGGCAGCGGCGCTGGTGCCATTGTCAGACCCAGACCGGAAGGTTTCGCCCAGAGGGACTCTTGCGAGATGTTGCGAGCAGCGAACCTGCTATTGTTTCAGTCACCTGTGCTGACAACTGAGTGGAATCGAACCTAACAAACCGAACCGTTTAGGAACCGAACCATACGCGAAATTGCCCACATTTTGAAACCGAACCTCCAGTTTCCTGGCCCTCCAGCGCCCCAGGCCTGGGACTTGCGACACGGTTTCGCGACGCCTGAATTAGAGACAGGGAGGCCTTTGGGAGCTGCTGGTGAATGCCGCGGCGCTCAACATGTTGGGAGCAGGCAGAACAACAGATCTCGATCCTGACTATAATGAAATTCTTTGTTCTCAGCTTATCACGCAACACGAGGAAGATGAAGACGAAAATGAAGAGGCGGCGGATGAGCAGGAGGAGGAGGCGGAGGAGAAGGAGCTGGAGGATTATGAGGTTGCCCACTTTGCTGAATTACGATGCTGTGTGGAGCAAGTCGAATTGCCAGAGAATCCAAACTGAGGCACCTGAAGGCGAAACACGGAACGCAGACCAGTTAGCCTAGCCTGTGGCGCTTAGCCTGCAAGTTGCAACAAAGACGTATGGTTCACTTTTCAAAGATGCTAGCCAGCAAGGCAACCCATGATCTTTCATCGCATACATTTGCTCCTCAAGCATGCAGGAGTGGTTTCAACATTCACTGAATGAGACGCAGTATAAACACGTTCTTGTGTGTGGTGTTTTCTGGTGTTGCCGCTTTCTCGCCCTTTTCCCGCACGTGTTCTGCTTGTCATGAAGCGAACAGGGCAGAACCAAGAGTGTCGAGTTGTTATCACTGATTGGGTCTTTGATCCCTTTCTTGCTGTGTGTGGAATGTTGTGTTCGCCACCGCTGAGCAGCAGATGTCGCTTGAGCTGTTTCATCAGGCATTGCCACTACACCCTGTTGCCAGGATCCGGCCACGCAAACCATTGCTTGGCTCCCTTCTCCCTACAGCCAAGCGCCCAATGCGTTTTGCAAGGACAGGATCTGAGTGAGCGCGGAGTTCGCCATGAAAGGGCCATGTCTTCAGACAGCGTTGAAGCATGCCCATATGGGTATAAATGGGCGCTTTTCAATGTGAAGGGGGCTTGACTTGGCCACAATTTGGAGGTGTTCTTTGTGTGCATCCTGCGGGTGGTCTGGTTTCCCGTTTCAGCAGGTTATCAGCCGTGCAGCAAGTAGCTGTGGTTGGTGGCCCGGTCGTGGGTTGTGGGCAATTTCTTCCTCGTCACCTTGCTCATTCAAGGCTGGCCAAAAACCTCAGTTCTAGGTGAAAACCTGAGTATTTCCTGGGGCGGGAAGCACACACACCTGGCCCTCCTCCTAAGTGTGCATTTTTGTGCTGTTTGGGCCAAAGGCTCCTTTTGGTGCACACCAAGCATTTTTTTGGCTCAGGACAGTTTTGCGGATTTTGCTGTTTTGCGAAACCGGGATGAAGATGAAAAGGCAACATTGCCCGACCCAAAGGCAACATTCCCCGACCAAAAAGCGATATTTGCCGACCACGTTCTGGCAAGATTTTGAAGCGGCACTTTTGAAAGGAACAGGTTCTTTTTGGAGCAATCGACATATTGCTTTTTCAGCAAGCGGCAGAAAAATGCACACCTGGAGGGTTTAGGCATATGTATAAATTTGTAGGTACATGAAGAAAAATGCCGAGATGGTGGCCCCTCCCAAATCATAAGATCAATGGCGCTCACATTTGCTTATGGTATCGCGTTTGTCAAATTAGGGGGCCCTAAAACTGGTTGGTTGCCTGTTGGTTTCCCTCGCGGAGCCATCCGACAATGTTGCGACGGACGCTTATGCATGAGTGTTAGGCGCTAAAGAAGTTTGTCAGTTTGTCATAGTTTACTTCTGTTGACTAAATTAGGTTTTGAAGTACCCCAAGACATTGCTTCATTCCCTAAAGTTCCCTTGGCATAGCCATCAAAAAGGGGTGCCCATTTTTGAGAAGCACCCAGGCGTTTCCCAGAGATCCAGGAGCACTCCGAGACGCTCGAGGGCTTGCAGCAACAGTTACAGGCTGCGCAAGAGGCGGCGCAACAGGGGGCTGGGGACCTTCAAGCCCATAGAAATGGAAGATGATCCTATGGGAGATTCAATCTTTAAGGGTTGGAGGGTGTATGGGCAAACCTGGGCACAAAACTGTGGTGTTTTCCTTTGGGGCTTCTTTTTGAAGCCCAGCTGAAAAGAAGAGATGCCATAGGGTTCAATTTCTTTACCCCCTAGGCTGTTCAGGACTGGTTCATGTGCTTGGTCGGAACTGCGGAGAGAATCTGCACCAGTCAGTAGGTTTGCAGCATTCCTAGGGTCCTATCCATGCCAAGGGAAGGATTTGGTCCATCCACACCAATGTGTGGCGACTCACTGGCGAGGCTTCTTTGCCCTTCTCCCAGCGCATGCCGCACTTGCTCTTCCCGGTGGAGCCTCGAACCTGTGAAACACGTTTAATCACCCCGAAGTGAGCCAAACTTCAGGTTTCCAAGACCATCCGCAGCTTCATTCCTTGGCGATTCCCTACTAACCATCAAGAACTGGGTCTGCATTGCCCTCTTGAACATCACCTGTCGCTTGCCATTGTGTAGCAAGGCCGGGTTTTAGTCACCTTTGATTCGTCGTATCTCCCGCTTGTCATTTTGAACATCACCTGCGGTTTGGTTGAACATCAGCCATAAGTTTCCTTCAAAGGGTATATACCAGGACCTCCGTGAAAGCTAGAAAATCACCCATGTACCAATGCCCAGCGCACACATGCTGCGCAGCCACTTGTTGGGGAATCTCGTTGGAATTGGAGCGGCCTTTTCATCCCAGGATAATTTGAAGGGTTTGTTCATTTTTTCCGATTCAGTCAGACACAAAGGGGAGCCATGGTCAACCTTGACAATTGTGGGGGGTGAGGGATCAGACATGTTAGTTCGACTGCCCAAATCTTCAACCTCATATGTTTTGCCGCAAGTGAAACAGCATGTTTTGGCGCCACAGATCTGCGCACATGGGTTGGATGACCTTGCAGTTGATTCCTCAGAGTTCAACCAATGACCCACAATCAAGACCCTGGTAGATAAGGGTCAGCAATCCCCTTGCCATAAATAGCTGCGGGTATCCGCCTTCTTAATTCTTGAAGCATGGTTCTGGGGATCGACCATTTTAATACCGGGTTTTGATTGTGACTCAAATGGAGTCGTGGCAGCTGAGGATTGCCATGCTGACTACTGGTGGCTGCCTCCCCGTGGCGGACTTTGGTGGAATCGCAGTGATTGGAACGAGCCCGGGGCTTGAAGCGCCTTGCCCGTTTTGTGGGTCCTTTAAAGTGATATCCTAAAATTGCCCTCTAAATGTTGGTTGCAGGGAACCAATCTAGTCCTTATATAAATCATTATATATATATAATATACACCCTTATTTTGCATATAATGATATATACATATATGAATGTCGTCTGGTAATTTGGGTCCTTCTCCCGACCCAGCTGGGACCTGCGCTCTGCGACAATCCGCCGGCCCCGCTCTGGAGGCCCTGCGGGCATCGGCGCTGCGCCTGCGAGGTCTTGGGGGACGACTGGCAGCCAGACACCCGGCTGATAGGTTTTCGGGGTCATAAACGGACTCAGTCTTCTCTTTTAAGGTGCCCCACAAGTAAAGGGTTGGTTGAAAATGATTGGGGGTTGGTTATTGCAAATGGGGTTGGTTACAGCAAGGAAACATAGGGGTTGGCTTTTTTAAATGGGTTTTGTTAAAATGGGGGGTACCCCTTTTTTGGTTGGTTTAAAGGAAAGCCATTTTCCTGTTGGGCATTTGGGTGTTTTCTTTTTAGGGGACCCAACAAAAATAGGGGTTGGCGAATGTGAATTACACAGATGGGGGTTGGTGAAAAATTGGAGTTGGTTGTCAATGGGTTGGCTAAAAACTAAGGGAACCCTAAAAGATCAGAACCTCAAAAGATCCCATTGATTCCGGGGTTGGGATATGCAGCCATAGAGCCACTATAGGCGGTCTTTTAAGGGGACCCCGACAATGGTTGGTTTCCCGCACCCCAAAAGCAAGGGGGGAACCCACCAAAACTTGGCTGGTTTCCTCTTGGCTTGCCTGTAAATGGCGTCCTTCTGGTTTTATTTAAACGACCCAAAAAGTTGTACCCTGAAAAACAAGACACACCGACATGCCCAATTCGAAACCCAGGAACAAAGGGTGAACTGCCTCAAAGCCTTGAATGTGTAGCTTTGTGAGGAAGAGTGCGGTTTCAGGTGATGATTTGGGAGCGGCCCAGTTGGCTTTGCTTCGAGCAAATAGATGGTCATGCGACAGCCCTGTGTGAATGAATGAAGCCACCAAAGGGCCCCCCCAATCGCAATACAAACCCGGCCGGAGCACAGCGGAATCGTCGGACTCTTCTGGTTCATCTCCAAATTGGAGCCCCAGAAAGTGTGGTTTCCCTTTGCCTTCCCTAGGTAGCTAGAATCAACACAAAGGACACCCCCCAAAATGCGCACATCCAGTTTGTGCCCGTTAGACTCCTTGACGGCATAGTCCCTGGCCGCCGTTTTGTGACCAAACGACCACAAAGCGATCGCACACCGTAAGGCAATCCAAACTCAACCGCCACTCAGACTTCAACGCACACCAGCCTACCAGACCAGCCATAAACTAAACCCAGGGCAAACAAGCCGCAAGCCAACCGCAAAGCCAAGTTTGCCGCAACCCACCACAACCCCACTTTAGCCACAAACTAGCCCATAAACAGCCAAGGGTTTCTTAGCCCTTGTCTTCAAGTACCGCCAGAATGCTTGCTCAGTCTTTTCCATCACTCCCCAAAGCGGCACCTGGACGCTGAAACCCACAACAAACGGCATTCATCCACGAATTTTCGGGCGGCAAACACCCATTTTTGACGGTTTCTTTTTTGACCCGAGCCCAAAAACAATTGGTTGTGTCTCAACACCCCAGGAACCAAACAGTTCCACGGGTGTCACACCTTGTCCAGGTACCAAACACCCATCTTTCAACATATTTTTGTCGCAGGGTCGCCAGGTACCTTCCGACTCGAAGGGGTTGAGATTTCCCCCGCTGACGAGGTGCCCTGGGTGGGGTACCTCCGTCTCCTGGGCGTCGTCGCCTTCGTGGCGGCGCCCTGGGGCCACGGCCTGGATACGCACCGACTCTGGGAGGCGCGCCCGGGTTTCGAAGGGGGGAGACTTCTTTTGGTTTCGCAGTTGGTCGTTTTTGTGGGTTGTTTGGTTCTGTTGGTCTTTTTTGTTATTGGTGTTTTGTTTGTTTGTTTGTTTGTTTGTTTGTTTGTTTGTTTGTTTGTTTGTTTATGTGCTGTTTGGCTTGTTTTGTACAGTTTGATCGGTTTTGCTTTGCTTGTTTGTTGTGTTTGCGCTGCGCGTTTCGTGTGTTGCGTTTGATTTGTCTTTTGGCTTTGGGCCAGGACCGGGCTTTGAGGTTGGGAGGGGTATAATATTACACAACAGCGTTCCATTTGTTTTGCTTCCAGGTAGGCTCAAACCAGTAGCGGGACATGAGTTTGAACGAGAACCAGGTTCCTGGGTTGAAGTTAAGGGAAGAGGCATCCCATGCCGCTGTTGCTGGTGCCTACAAGCTGTCCATAGGGACTGCAAACCAACCAACCAACCATGCGAGGTATTGGGAGTGAATGGTGGACACGGAAAAACGCCCGAAATTGTTTCAAAATGGTTTCCTTTGCCAACCCACAAAAGGGTGCCGAGCCTCAAGCATGACACACCCAAGTGTTGCCCATTTTGGAGGAAACACATGTTTTTGAGGGGATTCAAGGCGAATCCACCCATTTTGATCGCCTCTGCCAGGCATTGATGATGGGCAGTGTACCTGTGGTGCTGTCGTCGCCTTTGGACGTCCTCTACCGGCAGCTGCTTGCGAAGAATTGATGAAATCGAGGGGGGGGTCCGTGGAAGAAAGCCTTCACATATTCTTTGGACACTCTGCGAACTTCCATTGGGCCCGCGACACGTTCGTCTTATTGCTCAGGGGGAAGGCCCATGTTGTAGCGTGCTTGAAGCGTTGATCCAGCATGTTGCGCAAGCCCTTGGAGCAGCCTGGGGCCGACCTTCCCGCAGTCGAGTTCTTGACAAGGCTCATTCCGGGACTAGGGGCTAGTGGCCCTTACCTGCGCTTTTGATACGCTTTTGTGAGTCAGTGAAGGGCGCCCGAAGCGTCTCACATCAGGTTGGATGCCTGGCTCAGGTTTCCGATCATCATCCTGACCTCCTGGAAGGAGGCGTGTCACAGCCGACATGCAGCCAGAGGAGTCCGAGGGAACGATTTGCCATGGGAAGGCCCTGTCAGTGTACCAAGTCCACAGAGAGTGCTTCTTCAACCAGGATTTTCACAAATGGCAAGAGTCTCGCGGTTGGGGAATCCAATCCAGGGCAACGTTTTTGTTGCAAATTGAATAAGGATGGCAATAGTAATTGACATTTATGAAGGTGTCCTCAATTTCAACATCTTTCCCAGAAAGGGATTCCCATCCCTAGTGGATTCCCTTGAAAGTCCATCCCTTCTGGACATTTAAATGGGTCTCCACTCCGCGCGCGCAGGCGCGGCCCAATAGCACGCGGCGCTGGATCCGGCAGCTGCGGAAGTTCGGGCCGGAGCCCTTTGCCAGGCGTCCCGAAAGTGGGCAGCCGAAATCTATGGACATGGTCTCTGGTCTTGAGGAGCACGGGTAGCTTCCCCTTGGTTCCCCGCAAACAACAACGACAAGCCTGAAAGGGAGATATGTATCGCCTGGTAGCTTGTTGTGCTCTAGCTTTTTGGGAGCATGTGTATGTTGCCACAGGGGCACTAGCCACAGAGTTCAGAGGAACTTGGTTGCAACCGCGGCGAGTGGGTTTGTCCCTGATGTCCGTGGCTAGAAGTGGGGTTTCTATTTTGAAGGGTTTGTCTTGGATGAGTACAGTAGGTTTCAGCCCTCGATTGGTGGGTGCCATGGGTAGTTGCTACCCTCAAGTAGGTTTAGAACCATGGTTGGTGGGCAGAGACAACAGTTCTATGGTTAGTAGGTCGGAAGTGCGCCTTCAACAACATGTGTTTTGGAATACGTGGGTTTGATCCCCTGGAACAACCCTTCAAGATAGGGGACAACCCTTCAAAATAGCAACCCTTTTGCAGGCAAGACGTGGGAGAACCGTCACAAACTAGGGTTTGCTTTGTCCCCAGAAATGGAGCTGCTTCTAAACATGCTCTGCTTCCTGTTGGGCCTCCCTTGAAGAAACACCGTCGCAACAACATCAAATCGTATTCATTTGCAGTTGCCTGTCCATTTGGGTCTGTCTCAACATGGGGATTAGCCGGGATTAGCCGGGATTAGCCTCCGTTTCGACGTTGAGACAGAAGCCCAAGAGAAGACCGCCCGCTTTCCGGGGTCAAAATGGGTAGCCCAGGGTGTGTTCAACTGAACCCAAAGGAAGCCAAAGGAAGCCATGGACACCTTCCCGAGTTTCTGCACAAGCTTTTCCAGGAACACGATTTTGGTTGACAAAAAGTCTAGACCTGTTTGGCCAAGCCAGGAGCTTCTTGGCGTGTTTCCGGGGTGATGTCTCAGGGCTCCTCTATATACCAAGCATCGCTACCAAGGGAAGCTGATCTTAGGGCCAGAGGGGAAGTTTGGGTGTGGTTCCTTTTGAGGATATTTGTTTGTTTCCCCAGGGAAACCAAAAAATGCCGCCAGCCATTTTTTTGGGGGACCCCTGTGTCTTCATTGTATGAGGCAGTCCGTGCCCCACTTCCAGCCGAGCGTAACCCGTCATTTTCAGGGTCCGCGAGCGCCTCACCACGGGCTACTGGGTGGAGCTGATCAAAAGACGACGTGCCGTGGAGGAAAGACGACGACGTGCCTTCGCGCTTCTTGTGTGTCTGTGGTTGTTTGTGTTGTTTGTTCCCCGAAAAAAGGACATGAACATCAGGTTGTTTGACAGTTTTTTAAAGGGTGGTTTGCTTTCCACGGTTCTTGGCATGCTTATTATTAATTATTTTGTTGTGTTTTGGTTCTTGGTGGCTTTGTTCTTGGTGTCGTGATCAATAGTCAATAATTGTCATGTTTATCAACAAGATGCCAACAAGGGATACTTCGATTTCATGCTTTCAAAAGCCGACTGTTTAGCCCCCAGAACGTGTTCACTGCTTTTGGCGCTTCTGTTTGTGTTTTTGCGAGAGGTTGCAAATAACGATGGGGTTTGCTCACACACCAGGGAGTGATTGGGCTGTGAAACCCATTAGAATTCCGCACATTGATCCCCTGGAGAAAAGTTGATGGATGTCGTTCGATGGGAAGGTACCGTCCAAACCGGAGACACTTCGTCAAAGAAAGGGCTGGTCCACATGATTGGGTCACTGATGGTGCTGCTTTCGGCTGGTTCTAATCGTTTGCCACTGTCGACTTCTCCGGAAGGACTTAAGGGAATCGCTTTTGAGTTGTGAGAAATACCAATTGGAGGGGCCGTTTTGAGACAAATCTTGACGTGCCAACTGGTCCTTTGGCCAATTGGTTGGTCTGATGACCGCGCTGGCTTCCATGTCTGGTTGGCTTCTGCCAATGGAAGACCCATACCGGTTTCCATCCATAGGTCTGCGAACTTTGTGCGTGCATCGGGACCCGCAAAGGCATTCCTTGTGTCCTTAGAGTGCGGAGTCCCTAAAGAGGACGTTCCCCAAAAAGGGGTAGCAGCAAACAGATGCACCCGCATATCTGGGCTCGGAGCCAGCACTGCGTTGCACCCGAGGGGCCATCGACTAGCGAAGTGCTGCTGGAGGCCAACGGTGCAGGCGCGCCTTGTTGCACTCCGATGGGACGCGGATGGCTGGCTCATTGGTCGCAAGAAGATTGTTTCTAAATGTGATAGCCCCCAAATGGATGCTTCCCTTTCATGTTCCTCCAGCTCCAAAAGGGAACCAAGCCTCCAAACAAGACACTCAACATCGACATGCTTGACACCTGCATAAAGGGCGTTCCACATCTCCAGTTTCTGGGAGCCCGCACCTCGAGTTTCTGCCTCTTTTTAGGACAGGGCAGCCACTGATTCCCACTGACGCATGGCTGTGACGTTTCAATGGCAAACCTTATGACCCACACTTGGCCATGTTTGTTTCCTTGCATAGCTGCTATAGAGCTGCTACATAGCTGCCATACAGTGAAAGAGCAGGTCCTTTCCAAGTACAAAGAAGAAGGGGTGCATGGGTACAATCTGCACGTCGCCATGTTTTGACTTCGAGCTTGGCTCAAGCATAACGCTCGCGCCGCAACCACAGAATCTCTCTGCACGACATGGCCGACAAGCTCTTCGAGTTCGCAAGGGAGGCGTGGCCATGTGACATGACCCAAAGACATAGACTCCACGGCGGATGTGGTTGGGCGATACTTTCTTGTGATCCGAAGGAAGCACAGAGAAAAGCGTGCGTGCGTGCGTGCGTGCGTGCGTGCGTGCGTGCTTGCTTGCGTGCGTGCGTGCGTGGGTGGGTGGGTGGGTGCGTGGGTGGGTGGGTGGGTGGGTGGGTGTGTGTGTGTGTGTGTGTGTGTGTGTGTGTGTGTGTGTGTGTGTGTGTGTGTGTGTGTGTGTGTGTGTGTGTGTGTGTGTGTGTGTGTGTGTGTGTGTGTGTGTGTGTGTGTGTGTGTGTGTGTGTGTGTGTGTGTGTGTGTGTGTGTGTGTGTGTGTGTGTGTGTGTGTGTGTGTGTGTGTGTGTGTGTGTGTGTGTGTGTGTGTGTGTGTGTGTGTGTGTGTGTGTGTGTGTGTGTGTGTGTGTGTGTGTGTGTGTGTGTGTGTGTGTGTGTGTGTCTGTGTGTGTGTCTGTGTGTGTCTGTGTGTGTGTGTGTGTGTGTCTGTGTGTCTGTGTGTCTGTGTGTCTGTGTGTCTGTGTGTCTGTGTGTCTGTGTGTCTGTGTGTCTGTGTGTCTGTGTGTCTGTGTGTCTGTGTGTCTGTGTGTCTGTGTGTCTGTGTGTCTGTGTGTCTGTGTGTCTGTGTGTCTGTGTGTCTGTGTGTCTGTGTGTCTGTGTCTGTGTGTGTCTGCATCTGTGTCTGTGTCTGTGTGTCTGTGTCTGTGTGTGTCTGTGTCCGTGTCTGTGTGTGTCTGTGTGTGTGTGTGTCTGTGTGTGTGTGTGTCTGTGTGTGTGTGTGTGTCTGTGTGTGTCTGTGTGTGTCTGTGTGTGTGTCTGTGTGTGTCTGTGTGTGTCTGTGTGTGTGTGTGTCTGTGCGTGTGCGTGTGCGTGTGCGTGTGCGTGTGCCTGCGTGCGTGCGTGTTTGTGTGTGTGTGTGCGTGTGTCCATGTTTGCTGCAACACGACTGAAACTTTTCCAGGTGAACCGGTACTGCGAGCAGCAGCCGGATTCGGCTCTGGCAAAAGTTCAGGCCAGCCTGGACTGCACTGCCACCAAAGCAGAGAATGGTCCTCCTGTTGGATGGCAAAGGGGGAATCAGCCATGTGTAGGGGCTTTTCGAGTTTAAGGTCGTCAATGGAAGATCGTTTTGAAGGTTTCAAGGGACACCAAAGGGAAACCATGTGGAACCCTTCCTTTACAGGGAATCCAAAGGGAAGCCACTCATTGGTGCGCTCCCTCAAGTCTAAGACAGCATGGGTGTTTCTCAAATTGACTTCTGCCCCTGGTTTGCCAGTCACCAAGAGGAAGTCATCCAGAAAATGGGTCCCGATTTCTAGTTGTTTCTTTTCAGGGGACCCTTTTCAAGGCAAACCACAAGGAAATCCACCATTTGTGGAGTCCTATTTTTAGACACACCCATGTTGGGACACCCCCCCCAGCTCGTCACAAGTCAAGGTGGTGCCCAGCTACATTCTGGTCGGGGACCAGTCGGCAGGGAAGACCAGCCTGCTGAGCCGGCTGGCACAACTGCCCTTGGGCTACACGGCTAACAAGACTGGCACGTCCGAGCCTCAGATGCCAGCGTCGCAGCGGCCGGAGGGTGATGTTCCTTTCAGAACATCTAAATTCTGGTGACTTTGTCAAACAAGTGACGTAGAGGAGGCTAGAACAAGGGGGAGGTTTTGCATCGGGGCATGGGTAGCTTTCACATGCCTATGTCAAAAGTTTGGCTCGCACGGTTGGCATAAATTAACGAGAATGCCAGACGCAGTGGTGCCAACATGGGTCTGCAGGCGCCGGCCCGTGGAATACAACCTGATCCACGATGACACGAAAGAGGATCCTGACATCGTAGTGGATTCCGAAAGCGTGAGAGAGGCAGGGGTGGAGATTTCCGTGGAACCCAGAAGAGAGTGACTTGTTCGATCTTTCTCTAAAGGTCCGTCCACCTTTGAGAGTGGGATAGAAGGGAAACCGAAAGGACAGCCACCGATTTTTTGGGACCCCCCCCCCATTTTGAGACACGAGACATTTGCGTATCTTTTGAAAGGGAAATCCTGGAAATCCAGTGACACCTGTGCGGCCACTGCCTGAGCCGTTGTATGAGGGGACCCCTCTTTTTCCCATCCCAAACCTGTTTTGTGGGCCCATCCAAGGGGCAACATGGAGGTCAAGAAACTGGTTTAAGGCTGGGGAAAAAACATGCCCAGCTTGTGTATGGTTAACTATGGTACTCTCATCACCGCGAGCAACTTTTTGCGGCACAGGCTGATTTCTTGAAGCGCATGACCGAAAAGAACGACGTGGAGGGCTTCAGCAACGAGGCTGTCTCTGTGAAGATCCTTTGGAAGAATATTCCCGAAAGTATCATCGTGGCCGACATGCCTGGGATGAAGGATAAAGATACCGAAGCGTGACTGACATTGGCAAGTGAGCACTTCACTCTTCCAAGCACGAGATGATTCTTTCCAAGGAACATGGGCAATCTGCTTCCTGTCATATCCAAGGAGCCGGAGAGAATGATTCTCGATCGGCTGAAGCGTCCAAATGTGATCCCGGTGGTGGTTTTGGAGCCAAAGGATTTCGACTCCAAGAACTATGCCTTCGACCTTCTGACAAAAGCTGACAGATGCTCGTCAGTCAAGGGCAGAGAAGCCGCCAGACACTTCTCACTGCCCAACGCGCGGAGAGGTTCGGTCAAAACGTTCAGTAGTTTATTGGGGAGAGACGTGCAAGGACGAACACTAAATTTGAACCACAAGGACCAGGCTCCATTTCTTGACCTGGCTCATCAGGCTCAAAAGATTGCGGGCTGCGGATGTTGCACAATGTGTTGAGCTGGTGATTCTCACAAAAGAGGATTCGTTCTGAGAATCCAATGTCCCAACCTGGTGCTGAGACCAAGGAGCGTACGACGACATCATCGTTGTGGTCAACAAGTGTGATGAGAAGCTGTCGAAAAATGGCGATTGGTCCACGCCGTCAACTTGGAAAGACTTTTGGACTACCGCTCGGAAAAAGGCCTGGTGGTGGGGGGGGTGAGGGAGAGGGTGGGTGGGGGTAGGCCGGGCGGATGGGTGGGCCGGGACGTGCAAGGGGTGTTGGCTGTTGGTTCTTACACCCATCCACGGTGCATTTGCATTGC